CTTCTGAATGCAGTTTGTCATACTCATTTTTCTCTAATGCAATGGAATGTATCCAGAGGCTTAAATTCAGTCTATTTTTAATTCTTTAAAGGCTCCTAAAGGAATTGCTGATATTAGTTCAACTAGCACTCTTGCCTACACTACAAATTGGAGGAAAAAATTATAGAAAGGATTAGAAAATTTAGAGAAATAATGGTGGGCATGCTTTAATGGAATAGCTGTCTAGTCACTGAGACTAGCCAGATTTTTTTTTCTCTCTCTCTCAACCTATTAGCGGATATGACAGACGTTATTTTCAATCCCTATTCAATTCTTCTCAATTTGTGGGCAGGGAGATGTCAAAACTCTAGCTGATCTGAAAGAGGAACTTGCATCTGCGGAGCCCAAGTAATCAGTTTGCTTTTTCCCCCCCACACTTTTAAACAGGTGACAAAAAGAAGGAAAGGAGCTGTGAAGATTTTGTTGAAGGAAAATATTAACTTCCCCAGTGAGTGGATCTGGGCTGCTCTCTCTCTCTTTTTTTAAATGAGAAATAATTCCTTAAAACAAAGGGAAATCTTCTTTCTTAATCAAAGCACTGTACGTGAATGGATGCTGGGATGAAATCATATTTAAATTCAAAATTCTAACCATATTAAGAGAGATATAAGCTTAACATTTGGATAGTGAGATTCTGAAGAGTTTTAAACATGGGATTTTACTGAACTCCTTTAAGATACCAAGATGGAAGGCTCTTTTAAGGCCCATATTCTTTACTGGTTGCCAGACTGAATATATTCTTCTAATTCACAATATAAATGAGTCTAATTAATTTCATAATTAACCTTAAGAATTTAAAGAAAAAAACCTGTGACCTTCATTCCGACTGCTTAGAACTGAATTTCTGTCAATAAGCAAATTCATTTTAAGTACTAAGGATATCATGTCCCAAATGTCTATGGCATAAAGCCTAACAAAATTAATTAGAAGATGCAAATGAAGTATTGTTTTTATTATACAGTGCTATAAATTCTAAACTATCACAATTCACTTTTTAAAAAGCTATACACTATTATATACAAAAAGTAAAAAAATTATCAGATATAATCTCCACAGAAAACAATTTTGTCTTCTACTACACGTAGAAGACATGTAGAACTATATACTATATGTAGTTGGAAACTACATATAAGTAAGTCAAATATTTTCAGATGCATATAGCATCAAACAAGGTTGGTTTCTATTCATAACTTCATTATTTGTTTCTGGCTGACACCCTCAAAGCCCAAACCTACCTGCCTCTTGACAGTTTTACTGTATGAGATTCTAGTGATCTGTAGAAGGAAGTTAAGTTGGGGTTCAGACAATAGTGAAGATGTGGTAGCCCTTAGATCAATAATAGGCAATATGCTTTGGAAAGGAGGGGAGACAGAAAAGGAGAGGGGAGGGAGGAAGGGAGGAGGGGAGGGTAAGAGGAGAGGGGAGGGGGGAGAGGAGAGGAGAGGAGAGGAGAGGAAAGGAAAGGAAAGGAAAGGAAAGGAAAGGAAAGGAAAGGAAAGGAAAGGAAAGGAAAGGAAAGGAAAGGAAAAGATTGGACTGAGTTTACCCACTGTCCCAACTACTTTCTTATGCTCCATCCATTATTAACACCTTTGTCTCATTTTTCTGATTTTTGCCCTCAAAGAAGCCAGTATTTCTTTCCACTAATCAAACTCAGTTTTGGACGAAGAGGTAATTGATTCCTTCCCCTTTTCTAAAGGGTTCTTGCTTCTGAAAAATGAGGTACAACATGGTAATATTTCCCCTTTCTGTAGCTAGCAGTATTTTGGATTAGTACTTATCTCTGAACATCACTAAGAGAAAAATTTAGGGAGAGGATCACCCAACTCTATTTTGAGTTTAATTAGTTTCTAAACCATTCTTTTAAAATTCTCAGAGCATTTTCCATTTTTAGTTTAACTGGTTGTAGAAAAAAAGCAGCAGTTTCCTTATTCCATAGGTCTTCTAGCTGATTTTTCTCTTTTTTTGTAAAAAAAAGTTCACTTTTCCTGTATCTTGGAAAGCAGGCTCTCTCTTCCCCATCCACAATATGCCTTTATTTAAGAACTCTTCTTTGGATTGTAGTGGGAGAAAACATCCTAAAATAACTCTTGATGGCCTAAATGATGGTTTAATTGATAATACAACATGTTGCTGGATTCTATGCTTTGGAGACAAAGAGCCCTGACATAAATTTAAATAGGCATAATAATGTAATACAGGTAGTCCTCGAGTTACAACAGTACATTTAGTGACCGTTCAAAGTTATGTCACTGAAAAAAAGTGATTTATGACTGTTTTTCACACTTGTGACCATCACCATGGTCACATCATTAAAATTCAGATACTTGGCAACTGACTCATATTTATGACATTGGCAGTATCCAGGAGTCACGTGAACCCCTTTTGCGACCTTCTGACAAGCAAAGTCAATGGGGAAAGCCAGATTCGTTTAACAACTGTTACTAATTTGCCAACTACGGTGATTCACTTAACAACTGTGGCAAGGAAAGTCGTAAAATGGGGCAAAACTCACTTCATTTTGGGCTCAGTTGTGGTTGTAAATTGATGATTACTTATAAATAATTTATTGAATAATGTTCCAGACCATTTCAAGTTACCTGGATAGATATATGTGTGTTTGTTAGTGTTACATTTATTTTAACATATAGGGCATGCAGTAGAAAGTAGTTGCTTGGTAACAAAGCTGAAGATAATAAAATCCTAATGAGATCTTAAATCTTTAGGTGAGAGTTCTTTTTTTATAGGCTATTTCTGTGTTTGTGATAAGGATGTTCAGGCTGTTTTAATCGTCCTTGAAGTATCTTGTTCCTAAGGAACCAGATCTTTCTCACAGATCAAAGGGAGAAGTTCTCAAGTGTCTCTGGCATGCCTATGCTTAACAAAGTGATTTGAAACCACAAAAAGCAGTTTCAAATATACAATACTCATTAGTATATTGAGTCTAGAAAATGTGCAAGTTGGTATAGTGTAAGGTCACCTAGGTCTAACACTAGACCTAGGTGTACTGTTAGGGCAATTACTTATTTCAACAACGACCATCCCACTGATTAGTATGATGGAGGTTCAGTTGAAGAATCTAGCCAGATCGGGCATGACAGGTTTGAGCAAAAGTTGATGCAAGAGTTACTGCAAAGACAAAGTAAATATCCATTTAATAAAATGATTAACCTGATTAAGAAACTTTAAAAAAAAACCTTGGAAAGAAGAGAAAGAGATGAAAAGTCTGGCTAAAGGGTTGCTATTCGATTTAGAAAGGACTTATTATCAGGCACTGCTAGAACATAAAGTAGCTCATGAGTGAATAAAATGGGCATCTGTTTCTAAATTGTGCTCATTTATCCACTAACAAACAGGAGGAATTTACTACTTCACACCCACCCAACCTCTTAAGAGGTGGGTAAATAATAAAGTGCTAGGCAGTTATTTAGGCTTAGATGGCTCACACTTCCAATTTCTCCTTGCAGTGTGTCACTTGCATCAGTGGAAGCATTAAAAGCAAGTACTGAATTCAGAGAAACACTGTTGATAGCACATACAAGGGAAAATGGCCTGAAGGTCTGATAAAGACCAGTGATCTTAGCTAGAGGGTTTAAAGTTTGGGGAAATTATTTTAAATGATATGCCACATAAAGAGAATTATATTTTGTGATGTCTGGAAATGTACACTGAAGGAAACAGCTCCCTTCAAACTTCCTAATGTTTATAAATATTTGACGTCCATACATCTGGTAAAGTTTTTCCCTGTGAGAGAAGACAGATTTGCTGATAATGGTTGTATGCTTTGAATAGCGGGGCATTGAAGATTAGGGCTTGATTCTGCTCATCCAGAAGTGCTGGTAGGTATTTGATAACCATCCAAAATCTGCAGTCCTTCTATTGCCTTGTGTGTGTAGCCAGCAGCTTGTTACCCCAATGTCACAGACCCTCTATTGCAGGGGTGTCAAACTCAAGGCCCGTGGGCCAGATGTGGCCTGCAGGATGTTTAGATCTGGCCTGCAGGGCCAGCCTGGAAATATCAAAGGACTAGCCTGCGGTGCCTCTGCTGGCCAAAATGGGCCATGAGAGAGGCTGTGTGCGCCCCATGTGGCTCATTTTCGGCCTCCACAGCCTCCTGCAGCACTCTGCCAGCCAAAAACAGGCCCCACAGAGCCCCCGTGTGGCCCCCCACATGACCTGTTTTTGGCTGGCAGACTGCTGGAGGAGGACTGGATTGGACTGGATTGCAATTATGTGGCCTCAAGTAAGTGCCTGATCTGGATGGAAAACAAGCAACATCCTCTGTTAATACTACAGTTTAATGCCAGATTTTACATACTGTAGATCCATTTAATCTACAATCAACAATCTATAATTGACAGCCATTTCTATTTACTATCCTGGAAATTTACCTCTGCTGTTAGATCTTGTATTATCATGTTATTTATGCTATTGTATTTTTATTATTAGTTGAATAATAAAAATGCAATAGTATAAATAGCTTTTCTGTAAAAGCAATTTACTACTGTATTAAACAATGGGGTATAAATTTAGAAATAAAAAGTTTAGTGGACTATGAATAATAAGTAATAAATGCTTGCCAGTAATATCTGGTAGAAGAGATAGGAAAATTGTTATAGTAAAGAACTATGGAAAGAAAGAAGAGAAGGGGAAAAATGCATCTTGAGCCTGTGTCAATGGTTCACCATGGCATATCCACCCTGGCCACACCCACCATGATAAAGCACACACCCGGCCACATACACACACACCCGACCCTCCGAGGTCAAACACAACCCTGATGCAGCCCTCAATGAAATCAAGTTTGACATCCCTGCTCTATTGGCTTATAAAAGTAGTAGTTGTATCCTATAAAGCCTTACTGTATATGGCTTGACATCTCAGGACTGCCTACTTCAACCAAGAATCAAGGGCCTGACTCATTTGGCCATGGGGAAGCTGTCTGGTAGTACTCCACTTACATGAAGTGAGGGATCCAGAGAATCAGAGGTACTGCTTTTCAATCATGGTACCTGTCCTTTGAAATGGTACCTCTCCTTGGAAAACAGACTTGACCTTTCTTTAATTTCGTTTCAGAAGTTATTGAAAAATGAGCTCTCCCAGATGGCAGTTGATAAGATGATGCCATAATTGATCATGATGGTGTTACTATTTATCTGGCTTATTTTATTTGATATTTTTCTAACATAATTATTTATTAGTTTAATTGCTTATTATGGATGGTTTATTCATTTACTTGTTTATTGTGAATATTTTAAATGGTTGTATATCTTTTGGGCATGTGCTAGGATTCTGAGTAGATTACAGATACATACCAGTATAGTAAATGATAATGATAGTAATATTTTTAATAGTTCCTAAGGATATGAGTGTGAAGGAGAAAGAAAGAGGATGTATTTTTTATTTTTATTATTATTGGGTTTGTTTGTTTGTTTGAGACAGATAGATCACTGGAAATTGTAACTTCCTGGCATTTAGTTCTTTGTTGTTTCAAATTCTTCTGTGCCAAAAGCTTAATATATATTATTTTATTCATCTGGTGTAGCACATATGCAAATGTTGTTTACTGCAAGTTTATATTCAATTTAAGTGGGGGGTTTTTTTGTTTTTGTTTTTGTTTTGGGGAAGCATGTTGGGTTTTTTAATGCATGCAAGGCTGGGTTTTCATGAACAGAAGTAAAGAACCCAAAGGGCAGAGAATTATCATCCATACTCAGAACATAGCAAAGATTAAGAGATGGGGTATAAATAAAATAAATAACACCAATATAGGCAGGTGGTTCATAGGGCTGATTATTGTGAAGGAGGATTTTCAGTCAATGTGTAGAGGAAGATATATGTCAAATAGGTTCAACTGCCTTGCCTCTTTTCCTCCTCTGAGTTCCATATTATTGGTTGCTGCTGTTTTCTGACAATATGGAGATAAATAAAAGAAAGTTGTCTTACTAATGATAGTGAGCCCAAAGATCACTATTCTGCTGCATTTGCTGCTATTCCTCTACAACTAGCATAAGACTGGTTTGAAAAGGAACATACTTTTCTCAAAGTTTTCGATCTCAACAAATGAAAAGTTGTAAATACTTCATCTTTTCAGTCAAATAACCTGATAATTTTAGCCCAATTATTGTTTCACAAACCAAGGAAATCTGGAAACTAAGGCTGATCCTTTAACAGATATGCCTCCATGTTGTCAATCTCTTTTATATTATCACACACAAACACAAAGGCTGAGGAGATGCTTCCTAGAAGGAAGCTGTTCTCAAGCAGCTGGATATGATTCTGAACATTAAAAATTGCAAGTAAAATAAGACTAAATGACAAGAATAATTTATGGTCTACTTTGTTCTAGTGGTTAAGCCACCAGGCTAAAAACCAGGAGACTGCGTTCTAGTTTCACTTCAGGTATGAAAGCTGGGTGACTTTGGACCCATCTCTCTCTTACTCAACCCATCCCACTTTACAAGGTTGTTGTTATAGGGAAAATAGAAGGAAGAAGTATTTGATATGTTTGTCACCCTATTTATAAAAATAATAAAGGTAGAAAATAAATAAGTTATATAACCAGGCAATTTTTTTAAACAATCTGCTTTTCCCTATAGTTTCCATTCAGTTTAATAAAAGGGGTTTGGGTTTGAAAATTCTTACAAAGAAGAAAATATTTGCAATGGATAGAATGTGGTTCTTTTACACATACTTGGTTAGGAAATGGGCCAATAGTAAGGGGCATTGTAAATGTCTTAAATGACATTTTCAGGAAATTTTCAAATAGCTTCCATCCTCACAACTTCATTCCTATCATCCAAAAGCACCCTAATCTTACTGCAAAATAAATTTATGGTCACATCTGCTAAAGCATCATCAACCTAATTTTTCAGCATTTTAGGTTTTGTAAACAAATAATGTGAAGCTTGGCTTTGAATTTTTCTATAGCAGCCTAAATTAGAAGGGGAAATTTTTGGTTGTGCCTGTAGCTAAACAGTGGGGGGTCAGAAAAATGATTGTAATTTACAGCCAATAACAGAGATTTATGAAAAAATAATGATCTATTTTTCTCTCCACTCACCCCAATATAAATTGTGGCCAGCAGTTATACTGGCTATCAATTAACATCTGGCCTCAATTCAAAAGACTGTAAGTGTCCTGGGTGTGACATATTTTAGCTGTAGGTTCTCTGTCTCTGTCTGACCTCACCCTCTTCTTACCCTTCCAGTCTTTATTGAAAATAGTAAGGGTGTGAGAGCTAAACTGTTCTCACTTACAGCTATAGAGAATTCATTGCCCTGAGAAATACAATCATGATTCTGCTTGTTTTCTTCATTTTATTTATTCCATAAATCTGTCAACTTCCATTCATTTGAGGCCGACATGTTCACATGGCTACTCATGAACTGCTGCCCTGAATATCATTCATGGAATGGTCATACAAATTAATTTATCGTTCTAGGGCAGGGATCTGCACCCTTAAGCACTCAAAGAGCCATTTGGACCCGTTTCCCACAGAAAAGAAAACACCGGGAGCCACAAAATCCTTTCCATGCTTGACTATTTCTTGAGCAGCCACAAAACTAGCATATGTAATTGAATTAAATGTTCTGTTTTCTTCTGAAACTTTTCTTTTCTTGGATTTGTCTATGGTTGGCCTACCAGCCAATAAATCGTGTACCGGCGAGTGTCTCACATTGACACATATTTTGAGTGACAGGGAGCTGCAGCAGAGGGGTGAAAGAGCCACATGCTGCTCCAGAGCCACAGGTTGCTGACCCCTGTTCTAGAGAATCAGACTACTCAAACTCTGAGAACTTTCCTTAAAGACATTTTGCTTGATGCCCAGTTCATAACAATCATTCGTCATTATTTAAGGTATTTTTTTGACCCAAAATGTTAGTCCTTCCCCCAAAATAACAGATTTCTAGAACAGCTTACACTGATGGGTAGCACCATTTCTAATTCCCACACTTGCCATCCAGATTAGTGGAGAGGTCAAGTATCATGATTGCCATCCAAACGTTTGCTTTGGATTTCTCTTGTATTTTTTCTGACTCTGAACAGGATATACAGCAAGCGGAAATGAGTGACAGTCAATCAGCAAGTCCGATTTAAAATGTTTTACTTAACCAGTATAATTGTTTCCTGCTGTATCACTGCCAAAACAGGACTAAGTCTTGGAAGCTATTCCTTCATTTTTAGTTGCTAGTGTTTTGTTTAGTCTCAGTGTTCCCTAAAACAAATTGCTGATTTAAATAAGTATCTCAAACAGAATTTCAACTTATCTTTTCAGATATAGTTTGTCACATGTTTCTGGTTAATGTCATATCTCTTGCCGACAATCTTGCCCTTTCAAATTTATTAAGTCAGACATAAGGCCTCTACCTTTTTATTTGCTTCATACTCTTCCAAAGATTCTGTATTTATTCCAAAGATGTACTTAATTGAGATCCGCAGGCCACAAAAAGATACTTCATTTCATTGTAATGGAGTCTGGGACCACAGAATCCTGTCTCTGAACCATCTGTATTTGTGCTTCAAGCTGTGAACCAATTCACTGAAATCCTTCTGCAGAAATTAGACACAGCTGAGATCTTTGAATATGACCCAATAAAACATAGACTGGGTTCTCAAACATTTAATGGTACAGTGATGATAGCCTACCTGACCTAACATATGTGAACGTGAAGGCTATAACAGACCAAGAAGAGTGAGTCAACCTTTCTTCACTTTGGATTGATTCAGAAATGCTATGATTCCTCACAAAAGGAAGGAGTACTTCCATGCTGATCTGAGATCTCATGAAATGCATATACCCCTGTTCATTTTTATCACTTCAACATTTGGGCCACCCCACCATACATGAACAATACTGTAGAAGGGAATAATAAGGGTGTAATGGGTTCTCTGGCATGAGTATGAGTAGATGCAAAGCTTGTCTTAAAATCATCAACAAGACTACAGGGGTTGCCAATCCCCTTTTGTTCATCTGACCCAGGGGTGAAATCCAGCAGGTTCTGACAGATTCTGGAGAACCGGCAGCGGAAATTTTGAGCAGTTCAGAGAACTGGTAGCGGAAATTTTGAGTAGTTCGGAGAACCGGCAAATACCACCTCTGGCTGGCCCCAGAGTGGGGTGGGAATGGAGATTTTGCAGTGTCCTTCCCCCAGGAGTGGGGAGGGAATGGGGATTTTTCAGTGTCCTTCCCCCAGGAGTGAGAAGGGAATGGGGATTTTTCAGTGTCCTTCCCCTGGAGTGTGGTGGGAATAGAGATTTTGCAGTAACCTTCCCCTGCCATGCCTACCAAGCCACGCCCACCAAGCCACACCATGCCCACCAAGCCATGCCCACAGAACCGGTAGCAAAAAAAATTGGATTTCACCACTGATCTGACCTCATTGAGAAGAGACCTCAAGTCCATATTGAAATGGGCCTTCAGGACACCTTCAAAGAAAGAAGATTCCTGACTGCATCACGTATCACCTTTGCATGGATAAATTCAATCTGCAACTTAATGCTTCCCATTCTTACTGAACTGATAAATAGGTCATTGGGGTGAATCCACCATATAGGGACTTTCTTGCTGTCCTTATATAGGTTGGAGATTTGCTCAGATCCTTTTCCCAATGCAAACCTTTCCATCATCTGTTCATTTTCATAGTTTGTGGGATCATATGACTGGTACATAAGCACAGCACTCCATAAAGTGCTTGTTAGTTTTTAATCGGAATGTGTGAGATGCTTTTGGAGCTTGGTGTCATTTAACAGCATCGTTTGCTAAATGGAAAAATTGGCTGAAGCAAGGAGGTGCCAAATGAAGAGGAATGACAGTTTTTAAAAGATGGTTACATGGCAGATCTGTTCCTAATAAATAAGCCATGTATCAACTGTAGTGGATATATTTGCACAAACACTGATACATGTACTCCTATATATCACGAGAATTGCCTTGTGAGCAAGGAATATAAATCATCATTTTATGGGCAGTGCATGGGGGAATTACCTCCTGTGATTTAGCCTGCATGTCAATAGGCAAGAAATGTCACTGGAAA